GTTGTAGGCAGCGCAACAGAATCCTGATCCACAGAAGAGTGTCTCTTTCCTCAGGATGTCCATAAATATACTGGAAGCAGGCCACACCCCTAGGGAAACTCCCTTTCAACAGATTGGCTGCTCAAAACATACACATCTGATCCCCTCATGGAATAACCACATCACAACTGCTTAAACCACACAGAATTGTGGTCCAGCCCAGTTGACACTCAGCTCCACTATCACATCCTCCCAACTGGAAGCAGCAGCATGATAAACAGAAAATGTTGAAGTTGTCAAGGATTTCATTTTACTTAGATCTACAAACAATGCCTATGGAAGCAGCAGTCAAGAAATAAAAAGATGTATTGCATTGGGCAGATCTGCTGCAAAAGACGTTTTTAGTGTTTAAAAGCAAAAATGTCACTTTGAGGACTGGGGTGTGCCTGACCCAAGCCTTGGTGTTTTCAGTCACTTCATGTATATGAAAGCTGGATAGTGGTGAATAAGGCAGACTAAAGAAGAATTGATTAATTTTCTTTATGGTGTTTGCGAAGAATATTGAATGTACCATGCACTGACAGAAGAATGAGCAAATCTGTCTTGGAAGTAGACACCACCAGAATACTCCCTAGAAGCGAGGATGATGAGATTTTGTCTCATGGACTTTGGATGTTAACAGAAGGGACTAGTCCCTGCAGAAAGACATCTTGCTCAGTAGAGTATAAGTTCAGCCAAAAAAGGGGAAGAATATCAACAAGGTGATTTGATGACACAATTGCTGCAACAGTGGGCTCAGACAGAGCAATGATTGTGGGTATGGTGCAAGACCAGGCAGTGTTTTGTCAGGCTGTATATATGATCACTGTGAGGCCCCTGACAACAACGGTCTTTGCAGGCGCAGATGTCCAGGTCTTTCTCTCGTGTAGCTGCTGGGAGGGCTTGAACTGCTGACTGTCCCTTTAGCAGTCGAGTACTTCACTGTGCCATCCTAGTCTGCTTAAAATAACTGCTTCCACCACTAGGTTTTATCCATTCAGAAATTGAGTGACGACTTGTCTCACCTGGCTTGGACTTGGGTACATTTTCTTCAGAAGCACAGGTCTTATGTTTAGACATGGCTTGAGGTGAGCTTTGGCGCTCTCTAAAGGAAGATGCTGTTTCATCTGGTGAAACATTTTCATGGCTTAGCTCTCGGAAGGAGAGATTGCAGAAGGCAGAGTGTATCACTTAGATGAAAATGAATGTAAAAAGAAAATTTTATGGTATTGGAAGACTTGATTTAGTTATATAAAAGCAGTTTCTTCTTAATGTTTATGGTGTCTTGTCCTTGTGATCAAATTTTTTACTGGGCCATTAAGATAGAGCGTTAATGGATGCCACCATTGATTTTTCACATTGTTGTTGTTATGTGCTGTCGAGTCGACCCCGACCCATAGCGACCTCTCCTTGGGTTTCCAAGGCAGTATCACTACGGGAGTAGATTGCCCAACCTGCCTTCCGAGGAGTGGCTGGTGGGTTTGAACCACCAGCCTTCTGGTTAACAGTCAAGTGCTTTAGGCACTACGCTACCAGAGCTCCTGATTTTTCACATTAGTTTATTCAAATTTAGCAAACATTTGAATCTGGTAGTCACCATGCAAAGGCTGCATTAAAGGCATCCAAAAAAAAAAAAACATTTATTTTCTTCCTCTCTCTCAAAATAGTAAATTTGAAAGACTTTGGTTCATTAAGAGAACTGTACTTTATATATGCTGTAGTCAAAATGAACTTTTTGCTTCATTTTGCAAAGTGAATTCATTCAGCAAAAAGAATGAAGTTTGAAATTTTAAGAGAAGCAATTCCTAGTTTTTACCATTTAAATTTTTATTATCTTCTGCAGGTTCACCTTCCTTCCTGTACAGTATTTTCAAACTTTCCAGTTGTTAGAAAGAAGAGTATTTCTCTTGTTCATACCATGGATTTTTCTCCCAGAAGTGGGTATTTTGCCTTGGGCAACGAGAAGGGCAAGGCTCTGATGTATCGGTAGGTATTGTTTACGTTTAAAAGTCAGAGATGCTACTAAACTGCTCTTGAGAATCTGAAGAGATCATAAGTTGTGTAGCATTCAGCTTGACTCTTACGCTCCTTATTTGACAAAATTTGTGCATTTTTCTTTCATAAAGTGGTAAGCAGCAAACATTACCTGGATTTTTTGGGGGCTGGAGGTAAGCTTTATTTTGAGAATGTGGGATTGAGGAAAAGTAGCCACTTGAATAAAATGGACACTTCTTAGTACTTAGATTTTAGTGCTTAGTGTTTAGATTAACTTTTGTTGATTTTACAATTCATTATTTACTCCACTAGATTTAAGTGATTTTTTTTTCCAAAAGGATGTTTCTTTGCCTGCAGCTATAAGCTGTAAATAAGGATGTTGACTATAAAGGTATCCAAGTTATATGCTCTGTCCAGTTTCTTTTCTGTACCCAACGTACTTAGCTATAAAACAGAAACAAACAAGATTTAATTGTATCAGTGCTAGAAGATCTAGGTGACAGGTGTATCTTCAGGGAGAACTAAAGAGCTTTCCGTGGAACCCTGGACATAAATCACAGCCTTCTCCCTGACTTTTTGTGTCAGTAACGAACGCTGTGTAGAACCTGTGGTTTGTTTCCGTGTTTTAGGGAGGTGCTGCTCTCAAAATAAACTAAAATCTGGGGTGAAGAATAGGAGGAATGGAGGTTGGTTTGGAATAGTTATTTGTGAAAAGAAAATACAGCAAATTCGGTAATGTGGTTTGAAGTTCTACTTAACTTTGAAAGAAAAATACGTTGTATCAGGAAAAGTGATAATTCCATCAGTCTCGCTTGAGGAAGTTTTTGAGTGATTCTCAAAATTTTATAAAAGGATATATAGATTCTTACTGCATTTGGAAATTCTGTTCTAAACTTTGGTTTATAATAATTGAATATTACTTTTCCCTAAGTGAACCCTGAAGGCCATTAGATTTTTCACCAGAGCCTTGCTGTCTAGGGTGTGGCTGTTTCTAACTATACTAGCAAATGGGTTGAACTGCCAGTGTTTCTATCGGATATGGCTGGTCAGGCATCTCATAAACCCTAGTTTGATGTTTTAGAACAAGCTTGGTGCTTTTATTAAAGTCGGAGGCATTAGGATCCTTCAGAATGTCAGATTCAGGAGTCCGAACTTCTAGGTGCCTGGTGAGAAGGATTACATGGGGTTTTTTGCATAAAATACTGCATGAAAAGAATAAATCTTCCCAAGTGCCATTCCTTGAGCTGATGGACAGTACTGTGGGTAATTAAAAAGCTATTTTGATGATTTATCTTTACTTTTTCAGGTTGCACCATTACTCAGACTTCTAAAGAAGATTATTTGAAGTAAGAAGATCCTTTTTACATAATTACACAGATTTGAAGGCTGCACCCATTGCTGTTGGTTGGAAGAAGGGACATTAGTTCACTTTGTTTCTCTGTCCCAGGTTGCTCCATCTTCAGTTGGAGTAGTGGGATGGAAGTGGATCAGGAAGAACCTAGCTGCACTTGAATATTCCTTGAGAATTTCTTACTCTAAGTCACAACAGTCTGGCTCTGCCTTTTAAAGTTCATATCTCTTAATTAAATGTTCAGTAATGGGCATCAAAATTGTAATTACCAAATGTGTTTAATCCATAAAAGAGAGCTGTCTTCAGATAGAATTGTAACTTGTCTGAGCTCAAACCTTCTTATTTTTTTTTCTAGTAATGTTTACTTTTTTCTTCTGCATTTTTTTAAAATTGTAAAAATAGAGATAACATAGCATTTGCCAGTTCAACATCTTTCACGCATACAGTTCATTGAAACCAGTTACATCAGTCGTGTGTAGTCATCAAGTCATCACCAATATCCATTGACAGATTTTCCTAAATAATGATTCTCCCTTTCTCTCCCTTCCTCCTGCATCTGGTAACCACTATTAAACTTTGATCTCTGTACATTTGCCTATTTTAGGTATAAGATATAAAGCAGTATAACAATATTTATCCTTTTGTGACTGACTTAATTTCATTCAACATAATATTTTCACAGTTCTCCTACTTTGTAGTGTATAAGCAGGACTTCATTTCTTTTTATGCCTGAGTAAGATTCCATTGCACGTATCTATCACGTATTTATCTGTTCATCTTTTGATGGACGTCTGGGCTGTTTTCACCTTTTGGCTATTGTAAATTGTTTGTGATGAACATTGGTGTACATGTATCTGTTTATGTCATGTTTTCAAGTCTCTTGGGTTTATACGCACAAGTGAAACTGCTGGGTCATGTGGTAGCTCTGTGTTTAACTTTTTGAGGAACCACCAGACTGCCAAGCTTTCTTATTTTGTATGTTTCTTGAGTGATTATAAATGGATTGTCCTGCATCCCATAGCTGGCTCTTAGTTTTTCTGCCCAATATTTAAAAGAATAAGACATGCTTCCTTTCCCTTGGCTTGATCTTTGACCTGAGGAGGTATGGTGGTTTTGAGCTTGAGCTTCGCAGTTACCCTGTTAATTACAGTTGATGGTTTTATCTTCTTTGAGATTCATGAATGTTAAGGAGAGACTCTTGAAGTGCAAAGAAAGATAGATTTGATTATGGAAAGGATTTTTGAAGGTAGAGGAATTTTGAGCCAAGCTTTAGCCAGATTGGGAAAGCAGTCCGGCTCTCCTTCCTTCCACAATTACATCATCAGTGTGTATTTTTTGTTGACCAATGGCTGTTAGTCATATATATATATATATTCTTCTGTTCTTTCCTCAGATCCGTGCAAGCCACAAGAGAAGCCCATCATAGTATATCTTTTCAGAATCTTTCCTGAATGTGTGATAATATATAAATAATGATTTATTGTGCCAGCTGTGCTTATTTACAATAAGAAATGTCTTAATAAATATATGGCAACTTTTGTTTGAAAATAGGCCTTTGTGGTTCTTTGCCTCCCCCACCCCACTCCCACTAACTTGAACATACTCATTTTAAAAGTAAACATGAGAGATTGAAAACACCTGTCTGGAGCCAAAACTAATAAAGGCAGATATTCTCATACTTCATAGTTAACTCTGATTAGTATTTCTCCCTTTCCCAGCTTAGATCTCTGTTTCAAGATAGCCAGCTGAGACTTTGATGACCTGCGGATGTCAGGTGGCTTGATATGAGAGTAGTTAGACTTGGAGTGAATTTTGAACTTCTAAGACTTGTGGGAAAGATGATGATGGGAATGAAAGGAGATGGTTGTCAGTGTGACTTACAAGGAGGGAGCATACTTAACTTACTATTAGCCACTATCCTTCCTGGAAATGTTCATTACACCAGCTTAAACACTTAATTTAGGTTCTAGGGTTGACACCTGGTACCATAATTCTTTAATCATAGTATATAATAGCCTTGCTTTAGACTGGTCTCTTCATTTCTTAGAAAAACTGTATCGTGTGTTGAAGGGTTTAAGGGGTGGGCCATGACAAGTACCAATGTAGGTCTAATAGCTTTCACCCTACTTTCATACCTGCTACAACATGGAAAAGTCAGAGTAGAGGAGGGAGTTTTTCCAGTGGCAAAAAAAAAAAAAAAAAGGCTCTGTGCAGAGAAGGAATAGTGCCTACTGAACTGTATTTTAAAAAATTAGGTTAGTGGAGGGTATTTCCGTGTCTTCAAGGCTTTTTGAGGTCTATCAGAGATAGCACAGTCCAGTAGGTGTGGGGTGTGTTAACTTATGTCAACATCTTTCTAAAGGACATTTTTTAAATAAGATGGGCTCTTGTTTTATAATTGTGGAGCTCCTCCCTTTTTAGTATCATCTTCCATAACAAATAGAACATTAATACTAAAAACTTATCACTGAAATCAGTTGTCTTATATGTGCTATTTTGTTCTTAAGTTGCTAGAGGGCAGCATTGCATTATGTGAGTGAGTGAACCAAACCCAAACTCACTGCTGTGGATCCGACTCATAATGACCCCTCCTTGGGTTTCTGAGGCAGTATCACTACGGAAGTAGATTGCCCAACCTTCTTTCCAAGAAGTGGCTGGTGGGTTTGAACTGCCAGCCTTCTGGTTAGCAGTCAAGTGCCTTAGGCACTATGCCACCAGGGCTCCCAAGTGAGTGAAAGCCAGGCTTTTTGTAGCTGTTAGTAACTTGTCTTTTAACTTCTGCTAAATCGTTGTTTCAGAAATGGATACCAAGCTTTATATATGCTTATTTTACATATGGTTTCCAGTTCCCAAGAGCTTGATGACTTACAGGAATTTATCATTAGAGAGAAAATGATGGCGAGTTTAAATTTTAATTCTATTAAAAGTTTTAGAACATTTTTATATCCTATTAGGTATGGAATAAAAAATTCCCATTCCCAATTCTAATCTCCAAGATAGACAAATGTGCTTTCCGTTTTATAGGCAGGAAGGATTTTACCAATCCTGTCTTTTTTTTTTTTTTTTTTTTTTTTTTAAGTATTTGTCGTTGAGACTTCTTGTTGTTGTTGTTACCAGCTGTCGAGTCAGACCCGACTCATAGCGACCCCTCCTTGGGTTTCTGAGGCAGTATCACTACAGAAGTAGGTTGCCCCATCTTCCTTCCGAGGAGTGGCTGGTGGGTTTGAACCGCCAGCCTTCTGGTTAGCAGTCAAGTGCCTTAGGCAAAATACACACCAGTTCAAATTTCTACTTGTACAATTCAGTGACTTTGATTATATTCTTCAAGTGGAACCATTCTCTCCCTACTTCATTGTCCCCATTAACATAAATTCACTACCCCCTAAGGTTCTGAGCTAATCTTTGGAGTTGCTGTTGTCAGTTTGAGCCGACATAAATCTTAAAAGAGCGTAATGCTAAAGGCAGACATTTTTCACGACTTAAGCTAAACTGTTGTTAAAAAGATTTCAGAGGATATTTTTGGTTTTAAGGTTTAAAAATTATATTAAGGGCAATAGTTTTTTTTTTTTTTTTTTTTTTTGGTTTTTTTTAATTGTGATTTGGGTGAAGGTTTACAGAGCAAATTTACTTTCCATATAGCAGTTCGCATATACTTTGTCTCATGATATTGACTACAATTTACCACAATGCAAGAGCTCCCCTCCCACTTTACCCCATAGTTACCTCTTCCCTGTGTCCATCCCTCCATGCACTCCTGCCCCCTGAGCTGTCTCCCTGTGCATAAGCAGCCCTTTTTTCTCCCGTGATTGTTCTCTCCAAGGAGTGTATCTACTTGAGGTAGATGTTCAACTCATATGCCTGTCTTTTGTTTGGCTGGAAACCACAGGTGTGGGTTCAATTCCAGATCTGAAGGGCAGCTAGGGGCCATAGTCTCAGTGGTTCCACCAGGCTCTGTCAGACCAGCAAACCTGGTCCCCCACCCCCCTTTTTTTTCTCCAAATGATTTTGAGTTTTGTTCCACATTGTTCTCCCTTTCTATCAAGGATCTCCTATATAGATCCCCTTCCAAGTGGATGACAGTGGTAGCCGGGCACCATCTAGTTCTGGTCTCATAGTCATATAAGCTGGAGATTGGATGGTGTACCAGTCGCTAGAACTAATTGTTTCCATGAATTTTTTTTTTTTCTTTCTTCTTTGTTCTGGACGAGAAGAGACCCATCGTTGCATCTAGATAGCAGTTTGCTAGCTTTTAAGATCCCAGTTGCTACTCGCCAAAGTAGGAGGTGGAACAATGTTTTGTGTAGTATGTTATGCCAATTGAGCTTGATGTCCCCTGTGACTATGGTGCCAAGCCCGCAGGTTCAACTACTCGGTCCCTCTGGGTAGCTGGCTGTGACCAAGCAGTGACCACAACCTTGCCCCTTGTCAGCTCTACTATACCCCTGGGAATTCTGATCATTCACATAAACTTACAGGACCATTGTCTGCCAACCCTATATATGTTCTTGGATACACTCCTCATTTCATAGACATGCCTAATCGTTCAGCCTGTCCACCCATCTATCCACCCATATACCCATGTTAGCCTTCACTGACAACACAGTACTGTATGTACAAAAGGGTTCATATTTGTTGTCTGTACCTCCCAAGTACCTCTCTATGTCTTTCTCATCTTCAATGCTGCTATATTGGTCACTCACATTTGGTACATTGAAGGGCAATAGTTTGAGGGTTCATCCTGTCTGCATGGTTCCAGAAAGTTTGGATTTCTTGAGAATATGAAGTTCTGTTCTGTATTTTCCCTCTTTTGATCAGTATTCTTCTATGGAGTATTTGATCAAAATGTTTGGTAATGATAGCTAGGCTCCATCCAGTTCTGTTCCACGACATTGGAGGCAGTTGTTCATGGAGGCAGTTAGCCACTCATTCCACATCCTCCTCCTATTACTGACTCTCAGCTCCAGGTGAATAAAGACCAATTATATCTTGGATGGCCACTTCCAAAGCTTTTAAGACCTCAGGCACTATGTAATGAATTAGGAGGTAGGACAGAAGCACTAAACATGGTAATAGGCCATTTAACTGGGATGTCATGTGAAGCCATGACCCTAAACTTCCAAATCAAAGAACCAAGGTGTTTGGTTTTCCATGAGCAACCGCATCAGCAATTTTTTTTTTTTTTTCTGTTCGTTACAAATATATCTATCACACAACTTTTGCCATTTCCACTGTTTACAGGTGTTTGCCTTATTGATAGCAATTACATTAATTGGCTGTGCATCCTTCCTTTTAGTGCAGTTATTTTTCTATCACCATAAATCAAAAACTCCGTAAGCAATTCCACCCTCCCCTCTTTCCCCTCCTTTCTCTTCCTTGTGACCACTGATGAACTTTGGTCTCTACACATTCACCTGTTATCTTTTTATATAAGTGAGGTCTTACATATTTGTCCTTCTGTGTCTTGCCTCTTAACGTCATTTTTCCCTCAATGCAACTTAGGAATTTGAGTTGGGCTCTCACTGCTTCCCCACCAAGCTAACTTTTAAGGAGATGACAGCCATTTATCCAGTTCTCTACTGGCACAGATAACATGGATATGTCTCATCCCTGATTTGAGGGGACTGTGTTGAATTACTGTTCTGCTATCCAGAGCCACGCAGGATGTACTGAGATTTACTTGGAGTGATGAATTGCCAAGTTGAAATCTTTGACCTATCCCACTCACCTCTCCTCCTATCCCTTCTAACATTCAGTGAACTGAAGAATTCATCTTAAAATTTCCCTGTTAGAAGAAATTACAAGTGAGAAGGCACTTGCCTTATGGATGTTAAATGTGCATTTGTATTTCTGATGAGAGTATGTAACCCTTTCTAAGCCCATACACCTTTAGGTTTTTGACTGGCATTTCTGCATTCATCTTGGGGATTGGATAGAGACAAGCAAACACCCATGAAATGAAGTGCTTGCCAACACGTACAAGGACCTCTTAAACTACTTCAAGTCCCACTTAAGTGCATTTGCAAATTCATTACACAAGCAACAAAAATAAAGCATGTTTTCTTCTATTACTCTAAACTGGCAGAAATGGGGCTGGGGTATGAGGTGTGGAGAGAGGATAGAATGTGGGCTAACAATAGCATTTTTGAGCTCCTTATGCTCTACTGTGCTGATATTAATATATACGTACAATCTCATATAATTTTCATTATTTCTTTGCAAGGAAAAAAATACATTTTTTTTATGTTCTCATTTGACAGGGAAGTATATTGAGGTTCAGAGAGGTAATCCATAGATCAGTGGTCCTCAATGTAGAGCACATACTCTCCGAAAGTATCAGATACAATCTATTAGATTTTGAAAAGGAAGTAATGAACTATGTAAAAAGTATTTTTGTTTCATAATGTACTTATACTGTAGATCATGTAGATAATTTATTGATGTTGTTGTTATGTGCCGTCGAGTCAAACCTGGCTCATAGCGACCCCTCCTTGGGTTTCCGAGGCAGTATCACTACGGAAGTAGGATTGCCCAACCTTAAGTATGC